TTATTATTATCTACACCACTGGCTTGCCCAGGGTTTGCAGAAAAAAAAAAAAAAAAATCTCCTGAACTAATTTTGTTGGTGACCGCTGGTGTAAACGCTTAAAACTTTTCACTTTGCAGGTGCAGTTAATGTGGCTCAAACCTAACTTCAGCTATAAAAGTCCTAATCAGTAAATACACACCAGTGATTATTGATTGATTATTGATTATTCCATCATTATCAGAACTCTTGCATTGCCCCCGAGAGCATTTATGAACATGCTGACCGCTCTCGCCCCCCCCACTGCAGACTGTCTACGTCAATATGTGCTTGTTTGTGCGAGGTGTTTTTTAATATTAGAGGTTTTTTTTCCTCAGGCAACAACAAAAAAAAGTCTGATAGGAATTGTTTTGCCTCCAACTCCTACATGTGTCTAGTTTACCACTTTTATTGTCTGTCCAACAGGTCTCACTTGTAAATGAGTCTTTGAGGCTCATTGTGATTTATCTGTTTAAATAAAGGTTGAATGAATGAAAAAATAAAAAAATAACAAAGACTTTTATAAAGATTTAAACCAATTCCACTCACCCTTCACACCCAGAGGAATTCTGCAGACTTGAAGTGTTGCCATCACTGGAAGCAATGCGCTTGTGGACAGGAAACATCCCTCCAATGACGACCTTCTTCTTCTCTACATTCTTGTAGCCACTCAGGTTGAACTTCGCTTTAAGCTTACAAGTGGCCTCTCCTGAGAGACATTGGTAAATACAGAAAAAGCAACACAGTCCAAGAAAAAAGCCTCTCATATCTATGCTTCGTCAAGGCTGAAAGTACCTGGGAGAGAGCTCTCTGTACATCAGAGAGAAAAGCAGGCAGAGGAGTGTGACAGCTGTCTCCTGGGGCCTCAGTGGAGAACAGCTGCAGACGTAACCTATAGCAGATTCAACAGAGCAGGAGAAAGACAGGGCACAACAACTGGCCAATGACACATTAAACTTCATTTAAAATATGTGTGATTTTACCAAAAAATAACATATCATCCATCATATATGGTGTTAAGTTGAACTTGACTCAATCTCACACTAATCTCCTTCTAATGAGCACAAACTGGAACTTGGATCACTCAAAAGCTCTCGAAACATGGAAACAAACTTTTGCTTTGAATCAATTCCAAGAAACATTTGAGTATATTATTGTTTCTTCTCCACCTTTCATTCTTGAAAATGCACTTCATTTGGAGCTGTAGGTAAACTGCCACTGGCCACAAGCTAATTGTCAGCTGCATGTGGTGACTTGTAGGATTTATGCAATATCAGAGCTCAGCAACAGTTCCAAAAGTGCTCGGAGTCCCCTGAGTGATGCATGGCAGAGTGTTCAACCTGCCTGCACTTGTCTACCAGTCTGAGGGGAGTAGCTCACACCTGAACCCCCAGGATAGAAAGTTAGCCCTGCAGGCCTGCATTACACTGTTAATATCTGCCAATAATATGGTGATTTACCGCCCTATGATGGACTTGCGACCTGTCCAGGGTGTACCCCGCCCTTTGCACAGTTGATTGGTGGACATGGGCACCAGCGACCCCCATGACCCAAAAATGGAAGAAGTGGGTAAAAGATAATGGATGGATGAATGGATGGATGGATGGATGGATGGAGACTTACCTGCATGCAATTATTGAAACATTAATCTAACAAGGTTGAGTCAGATCCTCTGGACAGGTTCTTCTTTGTTGAAATGTTTCATCTTTTATCCAAAAGACTTCGTCAGACTGAGGAGCTGCAACAAACAGTCATATGAGCAGCACCTTCTTATAGCAGATCAACCAGTCTGCTGGTGACAGCCCAAACTAGTTGTTCACATGCAAAAGGAGGACCATCAGCCTAACGACTGATAGTGCCCTGATGGCTGCTTGCTATTCACAGAGGACTGAGTGATGCTAGCGATAACAGCATTGTAAGAAGAGGCCAGTTGAACACGGAGGTGAAGGAGTTGTGGTTTTGTCCTTGGTGTTGTGTTCATGTCTGTGTTCCCCTGGTCCTCTGTTTATGTCTCTATAGGGTTTGTGTTTCTTTGGTGTCTAGTCCCATCTTGTGTCATGTTTTTGTCCTGCGTCTTCATTCTCTGTCTCTGGCATCTGTGATTGTTCACAGGTGCCTTCACTTTGTCTGATTAGTGTTTCCTGTATATATTCCTGTCCATATCTCTGCTGACCTAAACTGGAAAGAGAACTCCACAGCGGTCATCAAGAAGGCTCAGCAGAGACTACACTTCTTAAGAGTCCTTAAGAAGCACAACCTGAACACAAAACTGCTGCTGACCTTCTACCGCTCGTCCATCGAGAGCCTGCTGACATAATGTGTCTCAGTATGGTACGGCAGCTGCACCCTGGCTGACAGGGAGAGGCTTCAGAGAGTAGTCAAGACAGCACAAAAGATAATTGGCTGCCCTCTCCCCTCCCTGATGGACATTTACACATCACGCTGCCTCAACAGAGCAGAAAGCATAATCATGGACTGTTCACACCCGGGTTTTGAACTGTTTGACTTTACCTTCAGGGAAGCGCTACAGGTGCATCAGAACACGAACAAACAGATTCAAGAACAGTTTTTTTCCCGAAAGCCATCACCACACTGAACTCACACATGCACTGATTTAATAATCTAACTTCCCAAACCCCTGGATTTCTACTGTGCAATACTACTAACATTTCATACTCTCAGTCACCTTAACTACCTCACTAATATCCATAATGTGCAATACAATTGTGTAATATTTGTATTTTTTACTTTCATTATTATATCTATATTGCGTTACATTTTTTATATTTTTAGTGTGTGTTTAATGTGTGTTTTCTTAAGGCGTGTTTTTGCACTGGAAAAAGGAGTGGCTCTTAATTTCATTGTACTGCGTATAATGACAATAAAGGCATTCTGATTCTGATTCTGATATACAGGTAAGTCTGTGTCTCTGTTAGTTTTTGTCCTGGCATTGTCTTCTGTTCACCGGTGATGACACGTCCATTGTGTGAGTACCTCCTGTTCATCCTTGTATGTTTTTGTTGCCCCGTCAGCTCTTTTGTTTTGTTAATAAATTCTTTATTTTATATATCTCCTGAGTCCTCGCCTGCTTGCCTGCACAACTGGGTTCACCAGCACCAATTGTGACAGGAGGCCTCCACTCCTGTTTAATGATGGATGGGTTCTTTTCACAAAGAAGGCTTCCTTCATTTCTCTCTCAAACCATCGTTCCTCTATCAAAGATGTGAACATCTTCATCCCTGAATGAGTGACTGCTGGCCTGGAGATGAGCAGCTGCAGAACGAAAGGCTTTGCAGAGAGTGGTGAAGGCTGCACAGAAGTCTGTTGGAGTCAGTCTCCCCACCATCACAGACATCTACACCTCCAGATACAGGAAGAAGGCCACCTACATCATGAAGGACCCCACTCACCCAGCACACACATGTTTTGGCCCGCTCCCCTCAGGAAGGAGGTTGAGGAGCATTAAGTGTAGAACCACTAGACTGAGGAACAGCTTCTACCCTGAGGCTGTTAGACTCACAAATATCCAGTCAGGAAAATCACTGTGAAAAATCAAATCATGTTGCTGCTGATCTGTTTCATGTTGCTGCTGATCTGTTTCATGTTGCTGTGTTCATGCATGCTCATCTGCTCACACAGACTCGTGTTCGTGCTGCTGTTTGACATAATGTTTTAAAGCTATTAGTGCTTAGTGCCTTTTTAGTTAATGTTTTTCTTGGTTCATATCTTGGATCTTTTTTTTTCTTTTTTGCATTTTATTGTTTGTAACTGGGACCCTGTGTACACAATTTCGTTCCACCATATGTACCACATGTGGTGCGAACGACAAAAACTCTGACTATGAATGTGTAGATGAACATATCCTGAGATATTCACCTGATTAAAACGGATTCTTTCATTTTTCTGGACTGAATATAAACGTGCATTGAATTTAATAAAATGTAACGTGAGACGTTATTTATCTTTGACCCATCAAAATGAATGTGGTCATTTATTTACAGAATCAAAGTTTAACATCAAACATTTACATTAATTTGGCAAAATATGAAAATAACAACATAATTAATCAGCAAGCTGTACAATTATGATCAACCACACGGCGGTGATTGGAAGACTTTACACAGACATTTCTAAAATATCTGGAATGATTTCTACTTGATAGAAGAATTTAAAGATGGAAAATGAAGTTTAAAGGG